AAATGCAAATACCAACTATATTTAAATAAAAATAATGGAAATAAAATTATAATAAAACAACAAAAAATACAAAGCAAAATTAAGTTGAAGTCTTTTTATTGGGTGTGGGACTTAATGGAGTTCAGTTGATTGGGGGAAAGAATGTTGCCTGGGAATGTTTTAAAAGTGCGAACTGCTTTTAAAAAGCATTCTAAATAAAAGACATTTCGTTAAATATAACGTAAAGTTTTGCAAAACGCTAGACCAAAAGAATCGACCAACAAATTCACGATTTCGTTGCATACACGCGAGGGCTGACCTTTTAAAACAGCCCAACTAAAATTCCGCTGAAATACCAGGCGAACAGAAATGAGCAGAAGGTAGCTGTTACAGCTGCAAAGAAAAATCTGTTGCATATCCGTCAGGGTTAACCGTCTCCAAATTCAAAATTTCGTTGCATACTCGCTAGCGGCAATCAATTAAGGCTGCTGTTAAGCAATAACAGCCGATCGAACTGTTAAATGGCTACTGTAAAGTAGCAGCTGTTGCTGACATAACCCTGCAGAGCTTTAAAGAAGGCTACTGCCAGAGATAGCATACATATTTGTGGACCGTTGCAATGCAAAGTGTACAAGGATCTGATCCTTTTGGAGAAGTATGGTATGGCATAACCAGGTCAGCTGTAAGCCGTTGGACATGACTGAAAATAGAAGACTTTGGGTGTATATATTGTAACTTTTCTAAATGTTAGCCGATATTCGAAAACCAAATCATTTTGAAATCGCTGGGACCTCAGCTTTTAGTAGTCAGCCATAAAATAAAATAGCGTCTGTTTATATATAGATTAATGCCATAAATAATTAAATGTAAATGGTAAAACACAATAAAAGCGCGAATAACTCATAAAGAGTATACATATGAAATACTTTTTGCTAGAAATCAAAAAGGGAAAATATTTGATCGTCCAATTTAGAAGTCTGTCTCTGGGCTCTGGGGCCTGGCAGCCGGAGTAACCGCTTCTTGGTAGCCAGGCAAAGGTTGCTCTTCAATCACATCCGCATTTTGAACGGCTGGCTGGGCTGCATTGAAGGACTTGAGTGTGCCCAGCTGTGCGCGCACATCCGCTTCGGAGAGATGATGTATTGGCACATTCGCAGGCACAGCCAGACGCTTGGGACTCGTGTTGCCATCATCTCGCTTGCGCTTGTCCGGCGGAAAGATGACCTGTGCATAGGTCACTCCAGTACCATTTGGCTCTACAATGCTCTGGGTGCCTGACGAATCGGTCAACGAGCTGGGTTGCCTGTAGACACTGGTTTCCATTCGACGTGGCTCGACAACTGCCTCCTGCGGAACATCGCGACGTTGCATGGGCGATCCAGAGGCCACAGTTGTCGTCGTCATCGTCGGACTGCCTCCACGGGCCGCAGCCGAATCCTCGTGCGGCACTGGCGCGTATAGCGAGGGCGTGTAATTGTTGTCTGTCACCTTGCAGTTGTAGAGATTGAGGCCCTTCGCAAAGATGTAGACCAGAATGTCGAAGAGCACGCTGGCCAGTATCAAGGAGGCGGTCAGTATGTCCAGAATATTGCCGTGCTTGGGCGTCTCGCGCAGCAGACAGCGCTCGTAGTTGGGCGCCCAATAGACACAGGTGGTGCCTGTAATACCAAATCAATCACAGTCAATCAAACACTCAAAAGGATAGAGGATATCAAGGGAAAGCTTGCAATTTCCTCTCAGAACTTACGTGTGACCAGATCGTAGCTGAGATGCACGGGCACATAGGCGAAGAGTCCCACAAGCATCACCTCAAAGGCCAAGGCCAAGGTCTTGTCCTGAGGCAGAACAGCTCGTAGTGTGATCAGAGTCTTGCCAATGATGGACATGCCCAGCAGGAAGGCAGCGGATATGCTCAATATCTGGAAGATTATGATGGTCTTCTCGCAGCTGTTGGCGCTGCAGGCGCCGGGCGTGGCTCGGGAAGTGCCGCCCGAGTTGAGCGACTGATCGCCGAGGCACGAGCAGCCCTCGTAGAGCTCGAAGCTGTTGATGGTGCTGCGCTTGGTGCAGCCCGCATAGCAGGGCGAGAAGTAGGTGACGCTGCTGTTCTCCGGGCACACGGGCATGAAGGCGGTGGGCGTGCAGAGGCACTGGCTGGCGCAATACGGCTGGGTGAGCTTGCCCCCCACGACACCCGCAATGGCGCCCACGTCGCAGCTGATGAAGACGTAGGCCACATAGATGATGACCAGATGGATCGCCAGGGAGATGTTGATGCCCGTGATGGTGCGTGCCGAGAGTTTCGCCTTCGATATGATCAGGCCGGCGATGAGCATGCCCACAGCCATAACGGGCGGCCGCAGGAAGTACGAGACGAAGGCCGCCCGCCACTCCTGGGTGAGCCCGTCCTGCTCGTTGAAGGGCAGAAAGAAGCGGCTCTGCAGATAGTTCTCCTCCTGCAGGCCATAGTTGAGGACGCCGCTCTGCAGGAACATGATGCTCAACAGGTTGAACATGAGCAGGCGATTGTTGAACAAGCGCTTCAGCGATGGCCAGAAGTCCGAGTCGTCGAGGTAGGTCGAGAACTGGCTGCCAAAGCTCCTCATGTTCGACTGCTCAATGATGCGCTGTGCCGCCTGATGGATCACCGTCTTGGGCAGGCGCTTGGGAAAGAGCCCCAGCAGCACGGCGCCCACAAAGATCTGCGGCGCGAGCACAATCCAGCCCAGCCACCAGCCCACATGGGTCAGGCCCACGCCCAGCACCAGGAACGAGCCCACCTGCTGGCCAAAGGCTCGAGCAGCGAGCACGACCGCAATCACCGCCGGACTGTCCTGCGAGAGCGAGTTGTCGTCGATGTAGCTGACGCCCACCGTGTAGAAGGCCAGCGAGCCCATGCCCAAGGCCAGCTGCAGCACGAACAGCATCGCCAGCGTCAGGGTGCTGCTCTGCGCCTCGGTCAGCGTCAGCCTCTGGAACTGGGCCAGCGAGGTGGTGCAGAGATTCGCATCCACCAGAGCATCCTCCGACTTGACGCCGTTAGCACTGAGCAGCGAGCAGAGAGAATAAGGTTTGCATCAACTCTAGGGCTACATTCAGATATTCTATTTACTCACAAGTTCATTATAGGGGGTATCACTGTAATCACACAGGCCACCGACTGCAGCATCAGCGTACCCACCAGCCACTTGATCGGATGGTAGACGTCCGCCCAGTAGGCAAAGGCCAAGGCAAACACCGCCTGGAATAGGCCACTGCTGACCAGAAGCCAATCTGCAGGAGATTATTTTGATGTAATATAACATAAATATAGTTAAATTATAATAATGAAACACTTGGAAATAGAACCAGCATACAAATTAAGTAAAATTAATCACCAGCTCGATCAATCCCAGCCTCTTTTTTAGTAAATTTTGCAGTTCTCTTATGGAACTATTTAATATAAACTAGACTTTAAAATAAAATAAATGAGCTTTAAGTTATAGATAGTTATAGAAAATGAGTTAAAATTTCCAATATTAAATCTCTAACTACTCTAAATATCTCAAGTAAAGAACCTGTATATACCTTTGACTAGCATAATTATCAATCCCAATATCCCTTTGTCTAGGATGAATCAGTTACATTAATACCTAATGAAATGTTAGAATTATAGCTGAAACGTTTTGGCATGGGATCAAATTAGATTCTTAGCTAATTGTTGGTATAAACTTTGAATCTGACCAATTCTGTAAGCTATGCCAAAGCTAAGATCTGTATTTTCAATTCTTAAAATATTTCTTAATTTCATTACCAAAATTTTAGGATCGCACAAAAGTTTTTTTTGGTTGTCAAAGGCTAAATATGCTCCCCTTTTCGTATAATTTAAATATGTCTTATTGACAAGTCTCTTATCAATGAGGCATACGAAGTTGATATTCACAAAATTGGGACAATTTTATAAGGTCAGATGACGTCACAGTTATTTCCAACATATTTGCAATGCTGCTGATGACAAATACCTAAATGTATATCTCTAATCCATTACTAAATTGCAATATCTATATGTAGGCAATTTAGTTTAAAGTCAACTTGGCTGAAACATATTTTTGTAAATAACACGAGCTATAAATAGTGGAGCTAGCCATGGGGTGTTACTGGCCCCGCTGGGCCGTATCGTTGTCCCATAAATTGTGTAAAAAATAGTCCAATTGTTGTGATTACACGGTATGAAATCTAGCCCAGTTGTTGGCCACTTGTATCTGTGATGACACACACTCGCACACACACACACACACACACACACACACACACATAGCCAAAATCATAAACAATATCGCAAAAACTGATAAGTTTGCTCTCTGTTCTGCATGCCCTCTCGCTCGCACTTGGTGGCTGGAAAAGCTTAGCAACATTCGAAGTTCGAACAAACGCGCATTGAGGCCAACAGCAAGCAGCTTCGGCTGACTCTGCCAACTGTCATACACATATAAACGTATGTATGCATGTATATACATTTCTTGATAAGTTTGGCTTACTCACCGACTAACAGAGGATTGTAGCCGTACTGGAAGGCCGCCTGCTTGGCCGAAACACGGAAGTAGAGCTCGCAGGCGCCTTGCAGCAGCCCCGAGCAGAGCAGGACAATGGTGAAGGTGCGCAGGCGGGCGTATTTCTGGCAGGCGGGGCCGCGACACCAGCCCAGACCCTTGATGCCGCAATCAACGCTGTCTGCAGAGGAAACACATATATGTATATAGTATCGTATAGCTATATATTCATTCCTTATCATTCACGCACCATCGGGTATATTGTTGGCATTGACGGCAATCTGCGATAAGTCGGAGCTGCGCGTATTCTGCACCATTTTCAGTTACACTATTCCAAATTCGATGATTCAATGATTCAAATGATTCGTTTTTATTTGTAATTGTTTTATTTAGCTTTTCAGTTAATTCGTTTCATATTCGCGCGACTATTCGAAGCAATTGTCAATGGGCGACTAACTGCGCAGGTGAGAGCACCGAAATGCAGGTGGCATAACTATACCATACCTTGCCCCTGCTCCCTGTTAGCTCTGATAAGCATTCGGGTTTATCTTATCGTCACTTGATTACATTTCAATTCCCATTCGGGTGGAACCCAACTTTATTGCTTACGCACTAGCAACATGTGGCCAGCCACTCGAATTGATCTGGGCAACATTCGATATGTCCCTAAGCAGCAGTCGCGCATTCGAGCAACATTCGAAGTGATACTCATGCTGCTGGCAACATTTTCTCAAATATGTTGCGGGACACTCGAACTGTTATTGATGGCAACTTTTAAAGCAACGTTTCTCAAGTGTTGCTTAACAACATTTGAGTTTAACATGTTGCAGGCTACAAAATGTGTCTAGGCCTATTTCAGCAAATTCGAAGATTTATTTTCACTCAAGGTAACTTCGAAAATGTCTCAAAGCAAGCTTTGCTCTAGTTTTGTATTAACAGAATCAGTTTCCAATAAAGGAATTTAAGATTGAAATATAGTAAAAATCTCATCTTTTGCTTTTCTAATAATTCATTATGAAAACAATATTAATTGTAAAAGTAATATTTTTGATGGCTGCCATGGAGGCTGGAGCTCAGTTATTACCTTCGACTCCGCCCGTCGTCATCTGGGGCGCTAAATTGTAAGTCTGGCAACGCTGCAACCTAAACATTTTATATGGAATATCCTTGCCTCATACAGAACGGAGCCACGCAACATTTTCCACACAATCAAGTCGAAGAAATTTGCTGCTCGTCTGCGGCCGTTGCTCAAGGATCACATGTTGATTGCCTATTTAGCGCCTCTGGTAGGTCACAATAGATTAGTTCACAGTCCATCTCACTTGCACCCTGCTATTCTCTCTCTTTCTCTGTCTCTCGCTTTAAGCTTACGTCGAAAGATCTGAGCTGCCTGCAGCCTGACTGCTTTGCCTATTTGCGTAAAGTGGAGCCACGTACGTACTACAGCAAGATTCGCAAGCCCGTGGCAGCGCTTGGAACGCTCTTGGCCGAGCACAATCAGGAACTGGTCTGGAGCGAAAGAGACAAAATGTTGCATCTGCCTTGCAAGAAGGGTCACATATATGCCTACAATTTCCAGACTCAAAATCTAACCGAACACGGTAAGTCGAACTAACTGAACTGGCTCAATAGAACTGAATTACAATTGTACTATCTCAATTACCAATGTACTATAGCTAAATTATTATTGCAGTACTTAAGTGTAATAAAAAATTAACAAATAATCACTCGAATGGGTTGACTTGCTGCCTAATGATAGTTCATTTCATTGTTCCGCTCAAGAACTAGTTGTTCTATTGAGCTAATCAACTTCCGCTTATGATATAAATTTATTGCTGATCCACAGATAAGTTTATGGAGACCGTGGCCTCCAACCTAACGGCCTGCCAGCTTGTCCAGATCTACACAGCGCATGGGGAGCCGACAGAGGAGATCGAGCGACGCATACGTAGAACAGATCAAGCGAAGGGAAGAACGCTAGCCGAGCAGCCGATTGCAGAGCCACAAATGCAAACCAAGTCGCAAATGCCATCGAACATCAGCCACAGTGAACCGATAGCGGGTGCTGAGAACCAGACTACAGAGGTAATGGTTTTTCGACATCCGAAGGCCATCATTACTTTGAGCACGATTGTCTATGCCGAGCAATACTCCGCTGGCGTTTCCGTTTACTACAAACGGCAGTACATTCGTATGACCGACGCGGTGAAGTTTGACATTGTACTGCGGGATCCAAAGAATATAAAAAAAGGCGTCGCCCTTCTCATAAACACGACAGCGGGAAATCTTCGGCTAATATTGTTGCCTGTTGTCGGTAATTGGCGCATATACACCTTAATTTTTCGTAACGTAACGCATATGCCCAGAGACCTACTGTTCTATAGCAACAAATTTAGTTTCTGTTGCCAATCCCTAAATGCATATTCCAAGGAAGGAGGTCGCGTCAGCTTGCAATCCCTCAGCATGGATGTTGTTGTAGCTGGTAAGTAAACAAATGGATATCCTGATAACCTACACATTTCTATTTCTGTGAATATTTTATTTTGGGGAAAAGTACAAGGGGTTCATAGAGAAGCTTATCAAATTGCATTGAACTTGATCTGATATATTTAACGGTAAAGCAAAGCAATAGAAACAAATAAAATAACTGGAAGATAGTAGTTGTTTAAAGGAATTGAAATATACAAATTATGTCCGATAATCGATTTTTATCGGTATGCCTTCCTAGTATGTAAAATAATAGATTTTATCGATATCGCGGCTCTTCTTATAGTAATTAGGATGAATATGTTTTTGTAAGTTTGATTTATGAAACAGGTTCGAAATTTCTGTTCTGATTTCTTATTAAATTTATTAAATTGAAATTATCTAACGCATTTCCATATTTTATTTTGTTATATTTAGATAACGTTACGGCGACGGATCCCGACTATATACCCAAGACCTGTTGGCTCTGCGCGGTATATCTAACACCTGCCCTCACACAGACGCTCTTTACTGTCGCCATATTGTTAGTAATGTTGGTCTTCGGCATATCCATATTCTTCAATATGGGACAAAATAACCAACTACCGAACGGCAACGATCCGAATCCATTTGTAAAGTCTCATTGAATGCATCCAAATATTTTAATTAATTTAATAATAAAAACTAAATAATATTTTCGTATTTTTTCAATCAAAAATAAATTTTTCCAATATTGTTTTATACAAAGATTTATATTTTGTAATTCATGATTTCTTTTAGGTTTAGAATGAAAGAGTACGAACAAAACTTTGACCTAGAAATATACTGAACTGTTGTAGCATATCTCGCCCGATTGACGCACATTTGGAGAGAAGATTCTGAATTCTACATTCTATACTCTATGCTAATTCACTTACAAATCCAATCACAATGGGACGAAAGGGAGAGAGACATAGATTAAGATAAAGACAGGCAGGCAGATATACGCCTGGCTTTAGGCATACAATTTGTTTTGAGCAAGGGGCCGAAGCGTGGATTGTAAACTATATTAATAGTAATAGTGTCATTGTCGCATTTGTTATTGTTTATTATTGCATTATTGTTATTGTCCACATGCAGTTCTCACACTGAAAGAGACAGAGAGTGGGTGAGAGATCATGGCCGAACTGTTCATATGGATTAGAAATTCACGTGGCACATGAGTAACGTAACGTAAGGTAACGTAAAATGGGCCTGATAATATATTTGCAGTCCACTCTATATACTTGCTGATAATGTTATTTTATTATCCGCATTATCGAGCCACAATTATCGGAGCTTCGCCTTCAGCGACTATAGTTGGGCCAGGCCAACACAATTATTTCGTATTTCTAGTCGTCAGTTTGATACGCGACACGCGGCGGCACGGTTCTAAACGTCTTTATTCGCTCCGTCTCTCTCTCCCGCAATGATAACTATCCGCGATCCTCGCATCTGATTAAAACAATCGTTCTCTATGGAACTTAACTGAACTGAATTTAATAAGGCATATTATTAATTTCTTTTCGAGTGCCGATAAGTGTAATCATAATTTCAGACGCCTCCTGATAAAATGTAAATATATAGTGAAGAAAGAATAAATCAAAATGTGAAATATTCATTACCTTTCTTAATATACTTGGTGACTAATCTTAACGAAGCCGTCAAAAATAGTGCAATATTCGTTAAATGTCCTACATTTTAGTTTGATATAACATATTTTGAATTAATGTTATGAGCTGAGAAAATTCTACGCATATTTTAATTATAATACTTTAAAATTAATTTAATAAAAAAAAGTGGAGTGCAGTATCCTTTCTTTGAAAAAAAAAAAATATAAATAAATAAATAAATAAATTTTTAATATCTTACTCCTCGTATTATTCAATCTATGAATATCCAAAAAATGAACAATCTAACTATAAATCGTAAAAATAGTTTGCATATCTTTCGAAATATTCTTGAACTCAATTTATAGTTAACCCTTGTTAACCCATATCAACCTTTATTCTAATTGTTCTGAAGTAAAAAGCAATATCTTAATTAGGCAAAATAATTTATGAAAGACTTCCTTCTAATATAAGTCTAAAAGTGGAGTAATCTCTGAAGCTCTATTATCTTTGTATAAAAAACAATTGATAAATTTATTTAAAGAAAGCCTTGAATACTCTTCACCTCTCCTCATCCTCACATAAAACAGAGTTCATAAGTATGTCGAATGTTTCTTTGTGATTCGAAAAATAAACGCTGACCGATAGCTCAACCGATCGACTTCTTTGTGTGCAATTGATTTGTTGTTTGATCGCCTGGCATTATCTGATATAGAACTATTTGTGCAGGTTTAGTTGCATTTATGGCTGCAATTTTCATTCATCTGTTTGTCTAACACACAATTAGTGAGAGGGAGAGGGATAGAGTCAAGGGGATTTTTATTAATATTTGCTAATTGGATCATACATGGATTAAATATGTCTCGTTCTATGGGCCAACTACTGTTTGTAAAGCCTTCGGTCGAACTTATATAGTGCGTAATCATTTTTTATATTTATATTCAATATGTTTCTCTTTTGTGTATAGATAAGTATTGTATAAATAGATCTTATGAAAACGTAATTTATTTGCTTGTTTTTCAAATTTGGGCTCGTTGTTGGTAGCTTAACACTCAGTAATTTAGTCAATACCAAGAATCATTATTGTTTACATACTCTATTGTTAAGACTTTCCAGCGAGAGATAAGGAAAAGAGAAAAGTAACTTTCGAGAATTAATTATTTCGTGTATAAAAAGAAACAACCATAAAGAAAAATAATTAAAAAAAAAATAAAAAACCAAAAATAAGATCTAAAATTGTTAACTCTAAGATATTAATATACATCTCTATAAACAATTAAAAATCAATCTACTCGTGCCATAATATTTGTGCTATTTATATTCTTTAACAGGGTATTATACAATCGACTTGGCAGGCAATCAGCGATTTGTTAATACCCAACGATAAGATAATGTCCAACCGGACCAGACCAAAATAAACTATATCTTACTCTATAGTCTCGTAAAACCCAGATGGGCATTTTTCGACTATCGACTAGCGCTACATAATTCCCCTGCAAGCTCGCTCTCTCAGCATTACCAGGCATATTGTAAGAGCATAAAAGAAGAGAATTCAGAGATCCGTTTATAGGTCTTGATAGATGGAAACTGACCAAATATTATGGTAGGGCTTATCTAATCAATAGAGCGATGGCGGGCATAATATGATCTTGAATATGAATAGGTAGACGCCCAGTCTAATCAAAAGTTGTACCTAGAATTCCTATATCATTCGATTTCCCAGTTTATGAGCCGAATTTCAGACGGAGTCACGATTAATTAAGTATTTTAAGCAAAACAAGGTCAATCCATAACAAATATGTGTTGTGACAAATATGTATAATACATACACACTTATAAATAAAAAATGGAGAATATTTTAAATTGTTTTTTTTATGATATTGATATGAGTAGCATTTGTACTATGACGTAAGCTATATATTTATTAGAAAGTATTATTAAATGTAAATACCTTTCTCTTTCTTCGTCTATAGCTCACCTTTTATTTCTCTCTTAGGCTCTTTACTCCTCTTAAATCCTTCTCCTCTCCCTACTGTCTCTTAATATTTTCTTCGATCATTTTCATCCGCTAACTCTCTTTATCTCTTACTCCTACTCTCTCTCTCTTTCTTCTTCGGGTATTCTATGTAAACATTTTTCCAGTTCCGAGGTATAAATCGCATTCATATTAATCTTATCAGCACATGTCGTGCTCATGTGCAGTGACCATTGAACACAGCAGACAATCAATTACAACCACTTTAAACTTGAACCCGGAGCCATGTCCGAGCTAAGGAAGCAACATTTGCCCCCGGGACACTATTTGTGTGGATTGGGCAAATGGCATCCCACCTGGCTGCAGAAATACGCCACAACCAAAGCGTTCATGGGCGTCTATGGACTACTGGGCACCATTCAAGCCATATCCTACATGTATTTCATTGTCACGTTGACCACACTGGAAAAACGCTTCAAAATACCTAGCCAGACGACGGGTAAGCATAACACTTTGATTGATGGCCATGATTGTGACTCAAAATATGAATGTTTCCGCTATTTACAATGATCAATAATATATATATAAATAAGCGCATAAAATATAAATATATATAATACAAAAAATATACACATCTTGTAGGTTTTCAACTCAAGTATTTAACTTACAATTCAGTAATGCGTTTCCTACTACGTTCTTGAATTTTTATAGGGTATAATGGATTTAGTAAAGTAAATGTTATAGGCATGAAAGAGCAAACCGACTCTATTTCTAGCCAATAATCCATTCACGCTCAAAATTTAGAACGCTAAGCTATTTCTTTATATCAGTAGTCACTCCATCAATCAAATACGCTAAAAACTTACTATTCTCATATGGTTATCACTTACTTACCCAAACTGCTCCATCCCTCGCAGGCATTGTGCTAAGTGGCAATGAAATATCACAGATATTGCTGTCACTGATCCTATCCTATATCGGTGGCCAGCGCAATCGTCCACGCTGGATCGCCTGGGGCATTGTGCTCTGCGGCATATCCTGTTTCATATTGGTTCTGCCGCACTTTATCTATGGTGCTGGCGATGAGGTATTGCAGCTAACACAGGAATATCAGGATAGTCTGTTGAATAGTTCGCTCAATGTGAGCTTTACAGCTGTGGTAAGATGAAACCTCTAAATTGACTTAATCTTTATCAATAAAAATATCTCTTCTATATAGAATGCAAGCTCCTCGAAGAGCAAGCCAGAGCAGCTCTGTGGCGTAGGCAAGGCGGCTGACAATTGCGATAGTCTGTTTACGTATGTGCCCCTGGTGCTCATCTTCTTCTCACAGTTTGTGCTGGGCGTGGGTAATACCCTGTACTATGCTCTGGGTCAAACGTACCTAGACGATAATACCAAGCGAACGAATACGCCATTGATGTTGGCGGTGGCCATGTCGCTGCGCATGATTGGGCCCGTCTTTGGCTTCTTCTTTGGTGAGCTTTACATAATTCCATTATCGTTAGAGTGCTGACTAATCTCTGTTCAATTTTAGGATACATTTCATTGAACACCTTCATTGACCCCAGTAAGACGCCTTTGATTGACAGCAAGGATCCACGCTGGCTGGGCGCCTGGTGGCTTGGCTGGGTTATCCTGGGCACCTTGATGTGCGTCTTCTCCGGTCTGATTGGTCTCTTTCCCAAGCAGCTGCCAAAGAAAACGAATGACGCAAATCGTAATTCACATTTGCCCCACGCCCTTCGTCACGAGGAGCTGAAGCGAGAGGAAGGATTTTCCTTGAGCAGTCGCGTGTCCTCGATTGCCGCCTTAGATAACATTGGAGCTGGTGCCAATGCTGATCTACCCAAGCTGAAGGATTTTCCACGTGCTCTAATGCGTCTCCTGCGTAATAAGGTCCTCATCTTTAACATCTCATCGGGCGTCTTTTATATACTGGGTGCAACGGGCTTCATGACCTTCTTAACAAAGTATATGGAGGTTGTGTTCCATAAAGCGGCGCAGAGTGCCACAATTGTCGTTGGTCCTGTGTCCATTCTGGGCATGGTCATTGGCATCTTTGCCTCTGGCATTGTCTTATCCAAGAAG